TAATTCTCGGCCTTTGACTCCGTTTTCAATTTCATAAAACTCGTTTTGTAAAACACAACACACAATTCTCTATGTAACACAAAAATCTAACAGGAATTAATATTATGGCAAATGTGTTTGCAAATGTTTGCTTTTGAGATGCGTTTATGTTATTTTGAATGCAGTGCTTCATTTTGCAAGAGATGCGAGGCATTTTGTGTTTTGTGTGTGCGGTTCTTGGATTTGTGTGTAAAGTTTTGACAAAAAGAGGCAAAGTTTTGAAAATGTGTGTAAGCAGCTGGGAAAAAAAAACTGTAGTGGCTTATTCGCATGAATCTAATTTATTCATTTTCATACTATTTGAACTTTTATGTTTCTGTTATATCTACAATTCACACTGTACAAATTCATACAAAATTGGCATCTCATAAAAAACTTTACATTTCCCTGTGAGATCAGGTTGGAAGAAAAGATCAGTCATGATCTATACTTCGGTTTCATCAGCTTTAAGGTTAGCCGCTGATAATGGTTCTGACCTTTGATATTCTGAAGTTGTTATTCCACCTAGTGTCAGTTTTAAAATCATATACCCTTGCTGATTTATAAATGATCTTTTTGAGGAAATGTTTATTTTAATTCAGTTCCAAACAGAAGTCGAGATAGCCCAAACCCTAAATAAGTATATAATATAAATAAATCTGCTTAGTTTACTTAACTACGTTTCGCTCAGTGGAAGTTTCTAAAAGAAGGTTGTCAAATTTAAACAGAATTTGTATAGACAGGCAATTAACACAAATAAAAATTCTGTCGAGTATTATGTGAACAACATCTGGAACTGGTAGCAGCTCAATGTCTAGTTAATAGGAAGTGGTTTATGATTACGATGCAAAAAGCAGAGTAAAAAAGTGATCATATCAGTTCTGAAAACACTGAATGTAGAGAAAACATCTGCTAAACTTACAGCAACGATTACATTAAAATACAATGTTATGGAAGTCGGTAAAAGAACATGATGAGTGGCTGAACAACGATTTCAAATGTATTTTAACATTATTTACAGCTACTTTTGATCTTATAATTGAGACACTGAGATTTTTTTAGCTACTTGACTGATTCAGTTTGAAGTATTTGTTTGAACTGTTTGACAGAAATGCGGTTTGTTTATATGGTTAGAAAACAATTATGTCCTCAAAAAAGAAAGGATAAATAATTCGCACAAAAGTAAGTTTGTGACACGAGTCAAAACAACAACAGGAATGAAGCGAACACTTACTGACTCTGTTCGGCTCATCTGATTCACCTCTGCCGCCTTCAGATAGGAGAACAATATAAAGATGTCCTCTACCAACTGAACAAAGAAAAACAAGTCAGTCTATGAATAATAATAAAGACGGAGAAATTTATTTGATTGTTTGTTTGAAGTATCTTTGACTGACAACCATTTGTTACAGTTATAAGCGACTGATAACCAAACGTATGCACTTTTTCTCAATTTCTTTATGTTATTATGTGTATTTTTCATTTACATACCTGTAACCAGCATGTGAAAACCTGCAGGTGTTTCATTCCTCGGAAAATCCCCCTCGCAGACATCGCAGACCGTGTGTTTGTGAAGCGCCTCTGGACGCTCGCGGGAGCCTCTAATAACGCCTTTCATTTGCATAATTGATTTAATCACGCACGTCTCTTCATCACGCCTTTTGTATTTAACTTCATGGCATTATAATAAGACCCTTTTCTTTCATTATATTCAAGTGTAATCTGATGGTTTGCGTGAAAGAAGGACTTGGGAAAGAAAGCTGCTTGTGTGTTGTTGTTGTCAGATAAAATCCCCTGCGCTTCAGTTACCGACCGCTGCGCGGCACTGTTGCATTGCACAGAAGATGATCTTACATTTAGTCATTTAGCAGAAAATTAAAAAAAAAAAGAAAATTTATCTTAAAAACTTTCTTCGACATGCTATGCTTTGGGATGATTATATAATCTCCTTTTATAATTAAATTATTCGGATGATATGATACACAAGTAGAAAATAAAGGCCCTAGAAAGGCAATTAGCATAACACAGGTACTAAAAATGGGCGGGACTTTGTAGCCTGGCTATTGCCTCTAATTGGTCAGGTATGATGGTTTGAAAAAAAGTTTGTTTTTTCTCTCAAATTGAAACAGCTCGTTTGTGATAACTAATAAATAACCAAATAATGAATTAAGAAAAAAAAAATGTGGAACGCTTTTATTTATATTTTAGGTATACAATTTGGGAATGAATAAATTTAAACATTTAGCCTGCACTTATTATTATTATTATTTTGTTATGCAAGGGCCAGTTGTTCAAAAAAATTTAATCTGGATCAGAATGATCTGGATCTGGAAATCCCATGTTTTGCTATCCAGGATCAAGTAACCATTTTACTTTTGTGCCGGTTTTTCGAAGCAAAAATTGGATTGGATCATCCTGATCCAGATACACACTTTTTCAGATTTTAAATTAAAATATCATATTTTTGTTTGATATTGACAGTTGTTTGAGGATTTGGGGATATATTACATGTTACAAATATTGTATTTTTTGGACCAGTTTTAAAGTTTTATTACATTTTTGTTCCTGAAATCCACCCTTCTGCTGGGATCAGAATAATCCCGTTTTTTTTTCTTTAATCAAAGTATCCCAATCTTACTAAAACGTTTTGAACAACACAAATTGAGGATTTAATCCAGATCAAAACCAAGATTGGATTTTGTGATCTAATCCGAATTCAGAATCTTTTTTTTCTTCTTTTGAACAACCCATTTTTAAGATTTGATCCAATCCGATGGCCAAAATCCGATCAGATTACTTTTGAACAACTGGCCCCAAATCTCTCCAATAAATCAGATTTTTTTATTGGCTTTCTTATCCGCGAGCGCCCTCTGGAGGAAGACAATAAAATACCAGATAGACCAATGCATTTGCCCCGCACAAGAATCCATGGTATGAGAGGATTTTTCCATTTAGCATTCTTTATTAATAGTGTTTGACAACATAATCGAGTATCAAGCAGTATCCTATCTTGCTCAAAACTAATGACTTGCTCTAGTGTTACAGTAGGTGGTTTTAAGACCACCCACTTGTTTATAACAGTTTGTTTGCATCTGAAGCTGTTGAAATGATTCAAGCATGAGTAAAACTCACAACAGAAGACCATTTATATGATTTAAGACAGTCAGTAATTTGCACACTGAAATGTGAGTTAGTAAATAATAAAAAAATATATATTTCAGACTTTATTATTGTGCTACTGTAGCACAATAAAATCTTTCACACTATGATATGGCAAAATGTACTCACTCGGCTCTGTGTCATTGAGAATTGAATTAATTTTTATTTCATTTCCTGAATTTGAAGTGAGGTAGTAAATGCCATGCAGAATTGTAATTTGAATATATACTTAAGGAAGCAGAATTAAAATGGAATAAATAGAATAACTTATGAAGGTGTAGTAGTCTATTTAATAAAAATATTAAACAAAAAAAATAAAGTATAGCTTACACAGTATCCTTCAAAAGTTTGGGGGGTCTTTAAAAGTGTAATTTTGTGAAACACTGCCATTTAAAGGGGTCATATGATGCGATTTCAAGTTTTCCCTTCTCTTTGGAGTGTTACAAGCTGGTTGTGCATAGATAAGATCCCTGAAGTTGCAAAGACTAAAGTCTCAAAACCAAAGAGATATTCTTTATCAAAGTTAAGACTCTGCCACGCCCCCCTAAAACGGCTCGTTCTAACACGCCCCCACATATCTACCTCACTATGTGGAAATATTAGCACAATGCGGCCCAAATGTGCACGCAAAGAAAGAAAGGGGTGGTTTCAGTAACCGCAGTTAGTGATGAAGCAGCATGTCAGGGAGACGCTGTGTGTTTCCAGGCGAAAGCAAAAGCACTTTATTTGGCCTGCCGAAAGTAGATGCATTTAGGAATCTTTAAAATTACTTACAACAGAACAGCAATGCATTTTATGGACGACCGTTTCGTGAACCTAGGAGAGGAGGTAATTCTGACTTTGCTATGACAATCTGGCGCTTCTGAATCAGCTACTGTTTTGTTATTAGTTTAAGTATTTGCTATTGACTGTTCAAATGCGGAGTTTTGCGCATCGTGTGAGT